TTTTTTTGTCCCATTTGTCGTCTACGTTCCCGTCAGCCGCATCGCCATCGTCATCCTCGTCCTCCTTTTCATCACCATCTCGCTATCCTCCTTGTCACCTTTGACCCCGCCGTGTTCTACGTCCTTTTCGGCCTCGCCGTCATCGCCGTCATTCTCGCTGTCGCCGTTTCCTTGTCCCATTTGGCCTCGACGTCATCGCCGTCCTCTTCATCCTCGCTGTATTCGCTGTCCTGGCCATCCTCGTAGTCCTTGCTATCTTCGCCCGCTTCGCCGTCCTTGCCGTTCTTGCCTGCCTCGTGTTCATTTACGACGTATTTTAGCATAATTTTATAGCAAAGTTTGCTTACGGAATAAGCTTTCTAGTTTATTCTACAAACAATTATGGAGGCCATTTATTTAGGGCAGGTTTCCAGACTATCACCATAACATTATTAAGACTTCCGGTTACTCTATGACACATAAAGTTAGGCAAACCTATAGTTCAATTTTCCTCGATAATATTATTAGAACTTCGGCTGCCAACGAATTTTACTGAGCCTCATTTTCCTAAAGGTATTCTCATTCCGAATAAACCGAACTCGCAACCCCATACCAAGCATGAATCGAACCCGAGTAGTAAAGCATATTTTTACGACTATACCTTTGAATCTTTTCACCAAATTTTTTTTTCTCGAAATTGATGTAAACTCAACAATTATGAAACAAGAGATTCCTCGAAACTCAACTTTTCTTCGCATAGACTATACCATATTGCCACAAGTACCACTTGGATTCCCCTAAAGTCTTGCATTCAAAGAGACTAACTTACACCGACTGAACAAGATACCAGTTTTGTCCTTGCCTCACCATCTCCTATCGGTACCCATAGAGGAATTTAATATCAATTCGTATCTTGGCGACGATATCACTCAACTTGACTAAACAGCCACAGATGCCAGAGAGTCACAGGGCAGATGTGACATACAAAGCAAGCCATGGCTCGCACAAGGCACTGATAATCTCGATAACTAATCCCTTTGCAAATAAGTCACGTCTTCGATGGCAATAGCAAATACATGTTTACTTGATTAATAAGCTGACTGTAAAAATATGTTTAAGATGAAGCCATTATACTCTCGAGCCAATATCGAATCCAGTTGAAAATGTTGATAGGAAACGGAGAGGCGAGATCGAAATTGGCAAGATTAGACAGCTCTTAGATCAGCTGGGGCTATAAATTACCACATGGGAAAATTTAATACCATATGAAGAAAAACTGGGTTTCGAAGGGAGATTTTCCGATCGGTTAGGAAGACACATTATAGGAAATTAAGAAATTTTGGTATAAGAATTAGCTCAATCAAACGACCCACACCTAATGAATTGAAGAGTTAGGATAACCGTTGCCAAAAAGTGGTAAATCTGTCCAAAACTACATTGGACATTTCTACAGAGGAGGTACTAGCAAAATACTTAAAATTTGCCCCTCCAAATGGTAAGGACTTCAAAGCGGAAATTTTGGTAGCATTGATCAGTTTAACGGATACTATGAGTGACATTGAACCACAAGTTGTCCCTTTAATTGATAGTAGGGTTTCGAGACTACCACTAAATCAGTGTAATGAGATGTATTCATCCTATTTCGTCTAAGGTGATGAAGGACTGGTCGTAGAATTTTCCCACAATCATATGAGTTGAGCTGACGTTTCCATTGTATTTCACATAGCCTTACTTTCCCAAAAGTTGTTCTCATCCAGCCACCAGTGAACTGCAGTTTCCACCTCGCATCTGTCTTATCAACACCCTCAGCGGGAGTCGAACCGCAACATTACAGGATGGAAGCTTGACACGCTAACCACTCTAAATGGTAAGGACTTCAAAGCGGAAATTTTGGTAGCATTGATCAGTTTAACGGATACTATGAGTGAGATTGAACCACGAGTTGTCCCTTTAATTGATGCTCATGTAGAAACAACATATAAGAATAGTACAGTTCGGACTATCATAAAGAAGCTTAAGGAGAACGAGCAACTAGTATTAAGGGCATACAAAGGAGGAGGGCTGAATCCCGTTGTACTGTAGCCATTTGGATTTAATACGACGTTCAGGTTGATGCAGGTATCGTGGACTGCGTCAACCTGAACGCCGTACACAAGCTGAACGGCTGCAGTACGACAGGATTCAGCCGTCCTCTTCTGGTGAGATCGACCAACGAATCTCTTCTTCATTCACTTTCATACGAAATAAAAGTCACCCCAACAAGGGAAAATAATTGCATAGTAAGTTTTAAGGGACTTCAGATGGTGGATGCTTCATTAATTTTGGGACTTTTGAGATGGAGGCATGTGTGCCTATTTTGCTGCTAGAAAAATGGTAGACATTTTTACAAAATTTAATTAACAAATGGAAAGTTATATAAGGCTTACAATAGAGATAGGAGTAAACAATTCTCTATTATTTATAGATGGTGAGATAATTAGGGATGGTGTCATACTGGATAGATAACTTATTGGTAGGATAATCTATGCTGATTCGAGC